GTCCACGTCACTTGACCATGGTTCAAAATTACGTGGTCCGTCGCCAAAAGCCCTCGTGTAGCTGAACAGTGAGACGTTAATATTCACTCACGCACTCACTCCGAATATAATTGGAGTGATTTGCGACTCCATTTTCTATGGCCGGTGTGGGAATTAAGTCCACAAGACATTTTGGGGTGACCGCTTTAAGATTATAGCAGTTAGTAATTGTAATCCGAAATATTCAAGACTGGCAGACAGTATGAAGACGTAGTCTTCAATTAACTATAACTACAAGAATTAACTTTAGATGAACATATTTTGTGTTTTTTAAGTATGCTGAGTAGCGTGGTTGGTTTGTGTGTCGCTGGCCTTCTGTACCCGACATTGCGGGTTCGACCCCGGCCCAAGTCAATAAAAATTTTATTTTTTAATGTATTTTGTTGATAATAAATGCATTTTTGAATTGTTTGATAATAAATGCATTATTGATGTTATATTTCATTTGTGGCTATTATTAATGTTTTGTTTATATCTTGCGTTTTGCTTTAAACGTGGTCATAAAGGAGTAAGTTTTTTTTTATTATAGTTGGGTAGGTAATTACATATTCCGTATTTATAATTAAGTTATAATAAATATCGTATGCATTTTTCTTAGCTCACCATACCTACGCTCCTGAGTGAACCGCAACACCTTGAAAAAATTAAAAGTAGCCCGTACCCTGGAAAAGATTGCCCGCCCCTGATCAACGATGATTTGTCATCCCCATATGCTGCCTATTATCAACCCTTTGAATTAGACCAGCAGTACTCAACCTTTTTTTCAGCCGGGCCGCATACAAACGACAACTATTTTACACAGGCCGCATACGTATGACAACTATTTCTCACGGGCCACAACATGAGGATTAACCGGGGAGGGGGGCGGACGCTATAAGATTAAAGACATTAAAAGTGCAGAAATTGGTCAAAATATTAATAGTTTTCGCGCGCGATTTCATTTTAAAACTATATTCAACTCCATCAAACTCAACTCACAGAAAAAAAATGGTGCATTTTTTTACCCTGTTATGGGGTTATTTCGATTTCCTTTCGTCAATGATCCCAAATCCCCCACCCCTAAATATTTTGTTGCTGAGAAAAAAGAGAATTGATTGAATATTAACGTCGCACTGTTTAGCTACACGAGGGCTTTTGGCGACGGACCACGTAATTTTGAACCATGGTCAAGTGACGTGGACGACAGCTGAGCTGGCACACCACACTAACATCTCTCGACAGATTTAACGTGCATCGCTGCCCTACACGGCGGGTCTTTAGTGGTACTGTGCTCGATCTCGTGACAAGGCAAGCCATGGTCCGATACCTATACCACTCGGCTACCGCGGCCACCGAGAAAAAAGAGGAACTGATAGATTCTTTTTTTTGTGCTTTAGTGGTATAATGACGAGCAAAATTATATTTTTTTAAATATTGCATTTTCACGATGAATTAAACAAGTTGTTGATCCATGTTTGTTTTTTCTACGAAACAGTCAAGATCTCTCCATCGTCTTGAAATAACAAATATTCTTTTGATATCTTTCGCTTGGGCGGCATAAGGGTTAATTAAAAAATAGTTTCACCCTTAAAATAGTCGCTATTCTACTGTTATTTGTTAACACTAACCGTTACAATTACAAAAGAAAAAAAAGTTACCCCGCAATTCTTACCAGCACCACATCGATAGCAAAAAGGATATATGGGATTGCTTGATTGATAGAATTTCTCGCTAAATTTTTAACACATTGTTCTTAAATAATTGAATTTGTTAGTAAAACGGGGCACATGAGAGACCGGGCCACTCAAAAAGGCCCGACGGGCCGCAGGTTGAGTACCGCTGAATTGGACGGTCGAATTCGTTAACACCTTGAATATACTTCTCAGCAAAACTGCTTCCCTGGAATTTTTCATTATATTTTCATAATAATATGGCAATATAGTAAAAAAGAAAAAAACACACATAAATGTGCAATGTGGTAACAATTAAACGAATAATGTAAATCACTAATCTGCAGCTGTTTTGAGTTTAAAAATAAGGAATAACCTCACTCATCACGGAGCTCGCTATAACATGGTGAATAATTTGAGACATAAATTTCAATTAATATTAATTGTAAATCCTATTATGCTGGTTGTGGAGAGATTATACGCCGAAATGTGCCCATTTTAATAATATCGCTAAAATGATCGGTGTAGATTGATTGATCAAGGTGAAGCATGATTATTATCATCTACATATGTGCGGAAACTCGATCAAGAGAAGAAGCAGCTCTGGCAGATACAATCCATACACATAACTTACCTTCTCAGTCTGTATGATAACATCATCCTATCGCATCGGTTATTCGTGCCGTCTGATTAACGTCACATGATTCGCTTTTGTTTTGAATTATTATAGTATCATTCGTTAAACTAGGAGTGGTCAATTGTTATGGCTAGAGAGCCACATTGTGGATCGAAGCTCTTAGTTGTATTCGCATCTCAGAAAAAGGTATAAATTGTACCATAAAAATAAATAAATATAAGTTAAATAAAATAGTGGCAGTTTTTTATTCAGTTTATTTATTGTGCTAATTTCACATCTATAGTTGCAAGCACAATTAATTTTAGAATCAGTTTAATGAAACAAATGTACACTGTCATTTTTTTTTTAAATCAGGAGTGTGGTTGCTACTTGTAATTCTCATTATAGCCTACAAGTTAATGACAAGCAACTTGCATCTATATATTTACTCTTGTTAATCTTTATACAAGAAAATGCTCACAAATATATGTTGACCGAAGAATAAAGAACATTTTCTGTTTGTTTGGATTTCTGATTGTCTTGCGGTCCACAAGAAAAAAAAACCCTTTGTGGGCCACTATTTGCCCACTCTTACCTTAACCAATTTATTAGGAATGAAGAGCACACACAAAAGTCAGCTGATGCGAAATAAGGAATTGATTTAAGTTTCAATCTTAGGTTTTGCCGATGTTTCATTTTCGTAATAATGAATCGTTCGGAACTGCGATTTTCAAACATCGTATAAAAGAATAATGATTTGAATATTTAGTGTCATTTGAATTCAGTGGCGTAACGTACACCCTCGTCTTGTTGGGGGGGGGCAGGATTCTAGGGAGCCCAAAACCTGA